TTTTGAAAGAAGTTAGTTTTGTAATTGACCAAGTTGGACTTTCTACTAGTAAACAGAAACAAACGTCTACATGTGTGTAGTCTTCATATGAAGTCTACTCTCAAATCCGAGGGGTTAGTTTTGCATTTGACCAAAATAAAATAGTAGACTTCACAAGTAGCCAACTTTTTTTCTAAAATAAGAAGATTGCATGTAAAGTCTACATTTTAATAAATTTTTAATTAATTTTTAACCTTTTTAATCAAACACAAAACTAATATATTCAACGAAGTCAAATTTTTGATCAAATGCAAAATTGATCTTTTACAAACTTCTCAGGCAGTCTACAGATTGTAGACTTCCTTTGAAGTAGACAATTAAAAGTCAAAAGTTTGGTCAAATGTAAAACTAACCTCTTTAATGTAGACATCTTGGTAAGTCTATCCAAATTTTTGTTTATGTTGTCAAAGCTAAAGACGAAGACTTCTAGGGAAGTCTACGATACAAAAAAAAATTGTTTGGCAATTACAAAATTGACTTGTGCGTTGACAAGCAGACTACATCGTATATTTGTGTACAGGCGTAGATATACGAAATAATCTATTTTCGCGACACATAACTGAAAATAGACGAAAACCATGTAAATAATTAACCTTTTCCAGTGTAAAGCTCGTTTCTAACCTTCTCAGTTGTCCAAACTCAAAATGTAAGCTGAAAGAACCGCTTTTGACGATTCACTAGTGATGAAACTCGAAAATATGAATTTTTTGCTAGTGAAAATGAAAGTTCTGAGAGTTTTTTAGATGGAAATGTAGAGGAAATATGAGCAAATGAAGATTTGTTGGTTTAGAATGAGAAAAACAATAGTTAAAAATTGAGTTCTAGAGCTTTAATAACTCAAAAATGGTGGTTCATGGTTGTTGGAAAAATTGAAGATAATGGCATTCTTATAAATAAGAAGAAATGGGGTAGGTGTATTTGGTTTTCTACAAATTTCAAAATTATAAAAAATTAAATAATAATGGCAGTTTTGTAAATAATTAAAATCATATGGGTAGTATAGAAAATTCATTGATGAATAGTAATGACAAAAAAAAGAGCTTAGTTTTAGGTTTGACTAGAAATTGTGGGTAGGTTTTGAGAAACACCCTTTTTAAAATGATATGATCAAAGCACAAAATGAACATTACTTATGTATACAAAATATTTATATTTATTTTTATTTATTTTTATTCATTTATGTATTAAATAATTAAAAATCGAGTAACTATAACGTATATAATTAAATTTAAGTAAGCACATAAAGAAAAATAATCTCTCTTTTTTATTTACAATATTTTTTTGTACAAAAACAAAACGATCATTTATTTACATTATATGATATATAAATAAAATTAAATAACATTTACATAGATATATAGTATATTTTAATACAAATATTCATTAATTGGAGCTTCATACTCATATAATTTTATTGACATTTTATATTTTCTGTAACAAAAATATTATTTTTATTAATATGAGTATTTATTAATTGAGGCTTCCTACTCAATGTAAATTTTGAAATTAAAATTTTATGTATCTATATATGATATTTTGTTTTACATAAACGATATTGAAATATATATATATATATATATATATATATATATATATGTATAGCTTTTTAATCTGATTATATATTAAATGAGAATTCACATTTATATGATTTTATAATCATTTTTATTTTGCTATAACAAAAGTTAAACCATTGATCACAACATTTTCAATGTGAAATTTGTAATACTCTTAATAATTTATATTCGTTTAAATAATTCAAAATATAGGATATAAGAAAAAAGTCTCAATTATTATCATACGATTAATGTGATTGTTTAATGTATTTTAAGAATAAAAAATTAAACAAAAAAGATGGAGGATACAACAATTGTCATCAAATATTTATTATTCAAAATTATTAATCCCCTATATACTATTTGAGAATCATTTAAAAAGTTATAACCTTAAGTTTGTAAGAATTAAAAATAACCTCAATCCTATGTGGCATATCTCTTTGGCTTCTATTTCAAATTCTAAGGATTCTAGAGCATGTGATATAATGTATAGTCTAAAAATTATACTCTCTAGCAATATAATATTTCGTAGGCTATAGTTGGTCGCATATATCAAATATTTATTGTTTTGCATGCTTTCCTTAAATAAAACCTACGGAATTACCTAATGTGATTAAAATATATATATGGCAATTAATGATTTTAAACAATAAATATTTGATAACAATTTGTATACTTTTTCTCATTTTCTTTATTTATTTATTATTAAAATAAATTACAAAATTACATTAATCATATAATAAAAATCTAAATTTTTTTTTGTGTATGTTGTATTTCGAATTTTTCAAAATGAGTATAAATTACTAAAACTATTAAAAGTCTCACATAAACTTTTACGATCAAGGTTTTAATTTTTTCTATATTAAAATATAATGATTATAAGACCATATGAAGAAATAATTTTAGTTTATATATATTTCATATCGTTTTAATTAAACTATACATTGTATGAAAATACATACTTATATTTTGATATTTGCCTTGAACATATATTGAAAAGTTAATACTTTCATTTTGAAATATGTCATTGTTTCTTTAAAATGATTATAAATTATTAAAACTACTAAACATCTCACATTAAAAAAAAATTCGTTGGTGTAAAGTTTTGTTAAACAAATATGCAAATAATCATAAAATCATAAAATCATATGAGTAGAAACCTCATTTAATAAATATCCATATTAAAAGTGTGTTATATTACTATGTTTATATCATTTAAATTTAGTTATATATCATATACAATATATAAGATTGATTATTTTGATTTACTTACCTTAACTACGAATAAACAAGAGTGATAGTTAAATTTATATGCATACGTCAATTTATTACATAAGAGTGACTGATTTCATAGTTATTTAAGATTTATATTTATTATTTTATTATTTTATAATATGCAGAAAAATACAAAATAAATAATAAATATAAAATACTTATTGTGCATAAAATGCAGATCTTAACCTAAGTATGTATCTCTTTAATAATTTTAAATCTTAAGTATTTTCTAAATCTCAGGTCAAAACAAACAAATGAAATGAGAAGAAAATTCAAAATCAATATATATATCGATTAATAACCAAAATATAAAAAAATACAATAAGAGAAAAAATTGAAGATAAATAGGATTGACACGTGAACGTAAACTTCTCATAACCATAATTAATTCTTAAATTATTAAATCATGATATAAAATTGAGTTAATTTTTAATCTTTTAATTTTTTTATTTTTTAAATCATTATTGTTATGTTAAATTATGACCATAATTAATTTTTAAATTGTTTATTTGTATTTGAAAGACTTAAAATATTATTTTTAAAAATAATTTAATTTAACTTAATTTTTCATAAATTTTTTTTTTTAATAATTTGTAAAAATATAGTTTTATAATATTATAAGACAAATAAATAAATTATATTAAATTAGTTTTGTAACTTTATATATTTTTAATGCAAATATTTTACCAACTGCTTCTTAAAAAAGCATTAGGAAACTTGCTAATACTCTACCAATCAAGCCCAATGACACTCCGTTTATTTTTCGTCATCCGAACAATGAAAAGTGAAAAGATATATAAAATCGGGTCCATTAAATTCTAAGTTTTGATCTACAGTTCTAATTACAATTGTTTTTGATCCTACGTATAGATAATTATATAAAAATTCCAAAATTCTAAAATTGTAAATACATATAAAAAACCATATGTAAATTTTAAATTTGTCAATACTAAAATTTTATATTTTAATTACATATATTTACCTTGCGCAAGGCGCAGGTCTTATCCTAGTTTTCTTATATATGATAACCATATTAGGTAATTTCGTACATGTTATTTAAGGAAAGAATGTAAAATATTCTTTTGTACACAGCTAATTTATTAATTTGGTAGTTTGTTTAATAAAAAATATAATATATGTTTAGACTGACCAACATTTTTTTAACAATTCTAAAAATTATTATGGTGATGAGATGTGTCTATTCAAATATATTGTAATGTTTTTCAATTAATATAGTACATTCCTTGTTTGTATTGGATATTAAACTTTCAAGTTAATAAATTCTAATTTCTTCGGAAAAAATCATATATGTCAAATGAAAGTGGAATCAAGATATAAAGAAACCAACTTTTTATATTCCCACTAAACCACCATACTTATTTTTGGTGAAATTGTTAGACCTTGTTAATGGATATCAATCAAGAGGATTATAGTGGTACGCTCTAGACATGCATTGAATGAATGCTATCTTTGAAATTCAGAACATTTCTTTTTGTTTGCTAACTGTTAACACTTTAATTTAGTAACTAAATTATGTACGACTTTCGAAAATTTTCAACCAGAAAAAAATAAAATAAATGTCATGTTATACATTTTCTTCTATTCCTATATCATTTTCTTAATATTCCCAATTAAAGCAGACATATATTTTATTATTCCCACGTTTGAGATCCTAATAGACATGTTCAATATGGTAATATCGAACTATACGAAACCGAACCATATCGAACCAAGCTGACATAGACAATATAGTCTGAATTTGGTATATACCATATAAACTGAATAGATATGATTTTATAAAAATTATAGGATTTGGATTGGTTTGGTTTACAACCAATTAAACCGAATAAAAACTGATTAATGTAAAAATATATAAATCTAAGTTATTAAAACTGGAATACAAAAAAATACCCTGATTTTTCTTTAATATTTACGATAGATTGCCACTAAGTTATAAACTGTCGTCAAGTGCAACAATCATGCTAATTGGCGTATTGCTACGCTTCATAGTGGAGTTTCCTTGGTCATTAGGGATGTGTCGGGGAGCGTCCTTCATCACATAATAGATGCTATGACTTTCTCTCCTAACAGACTTATAGCTGAGCTCCGAGATCTTCATGGGCTTTACAAACTATGAAGGGCCTTGGTTTTCAAGATGTTATTATTGGTTTGGATCTTCATGATTTGTCAAGTGCAATGAAGAAACCCACAGATTGGCCTAGGTTTCGCATCATTCTGCATCGTATAAGGGTACTATATTCACACTTTACATCAGTTGCATTTGAAATAGAATTAGTATCCTTAAATATTGTTGCTAGGGAAATTGGAAAGAGTGTCTTCAGAGATGGGAGGTTTCAATCGTATTTGGCACTGGCAGGCCCTGCATGGCTGCATTACTTAATCAACAGAGAAGCTGGACTGTTTCACTCATAGATCTTTATTTTTTAGATTGAGTGTTTATTCTATTCTTTGTTGTATCTTTTTCTTCAAAACCTCTTCTTTTGGATCAATGCATTGTAGAGATAAGAAAAAATATTATAATTAACGACAATCATTTTGTGTGCTTTAATGATGGGCCAAAATTCCTACAAACCGATAGATCGTATCATAACTAATACGACAATTTATGTTTTGTTAGGACGGCTAATTATCAAAGCAATTCCAAATTGTATTTATGTATTATTATAATTGTATCACATTTAAACACATACAGACTACCTAAATTTGCAACAAATTTATGCATCAATCTAATTTATTAAAACATATACCAACAAATAATATTGATTTAAATCATATATAAATAATATAATTTCGAATATAATAAAAAATTGATCCTTATATACAAATTTCAAATTTAAATAACCATCTCTATATTTAACACACATTTGTAGGGGAAAAAATCTCATTAAGATTAATGCATTAGCTAAACATGAAAAAAAAGTTGAGGTCGGTCTAACATGTTAAAAAGATAAAGTATAAACATTCTAAAATGTTTAAAACTAGGCCTACAACTTATTATCCACAAGATCTGGATTCGATATGAGATTCGTTCTGAAAATATGATTTCCGAAGCATTTGAATCCGGATCCGGATATTAAAATCTTTTTAAGAGATAAATTTAATTAGTAGCTAAACATGAGCAAACAAGTTGAGGTCATTCTAGAAATGTAAAAATCATAAAATAGGGTCATTCTAAAATGTTAAAAACTAGGCTTGAGACTTATTATCCAGGATCTGGATTTGACCTGAGATCCACACTGAAAATATTATACTTGAGGCGTCCAAATCCGGATCTGGATAGTAAAACCACGGATCCACCAAAACTGAATTCTGATCCCAATATCTTTATTTTTATATCTGAATTTCGGATCAGGATCCGTATTTAATATATATTAATTTTTAATTTTGGTAGTAATTTAATTTGATATATTTATACTTATACATAAAATTATTACATTTTGATTTTTAAGACTATATACATATTAATATATATTAATATATATTGATAAATGTTGTACAAATATTTAATTTATGTAGTATTTTAAAAAATTTAGTTTTTAATTTTTTATTCTTATTACGAATATGAATATGGATACTAATCTACGGATCTGATCTGATATGTTCATCCCTATTTAAACATGTACTAGGTGACTGGTCCGCATCCTGTGCGGGCATGAAAAAATATTGTGATATCGGTTGAGTTGGATTTTGATGGAAACATGATCTTCAATAGTGAACTCATTGATCTCCAAGTATTGCAGGATCTTCTAAGTTTTTTGGTAACAAGTATGAGTCTGAGTTTTTTCAGAGTGTTGTGAACAGAGTTGGTATCGTCTCATGGGCTGCTGTTGATCGGAAACGGGTTGATGGTCCAAAGATAGGAGGTGACTTGTTGGTTCTATGAACCACTGTTTATGGTTTTAGCTTAGTTTCTGATTTTTTTTCATGATATGTTTCGATTACAAGCAGTGATCTTGCAAGGAAACCTATTAAATCTACCCATTGAATCTTGAATAAATTTGTATTTCTTTTTCGATTTTTGCAATCTCATTTGCATCTCTTACAATTATGATTGTATCATAAGCTGTTTTGAGTTTTTTATTTGCCAAGGTACATATTATTAACAAAGCTGCTATTTGGGTTTGATGCAGGGTGGATGTTTTAGTCTTTATCATCTGGGAGGTAGTCATCTTAACATTCTTAGTGTTCTCAGTCACTTCCTTGTATTTCAAGCGATTGCAGCTCGCCTTCATCTTGGTATGCATCACTTTGCTACCACTTGTTACATGAAGTCACAAAACATGTGAGATCGGCCAGGAAGAAGAAGCGAAGGATGCTTCTTCCACTGTCTATGTAAAGAAACACCAAACCCCATATGGAAAGCTCGCTTTTATATTATCACTAAGTGAAATTGTGTTGTATAAATTCTGTAATTTTATATTTTCTATTTAATTCGAAAATTTATGTTTTTAAATAAAAAAATTAAAAACAATGGCATATTAAAAGAAAATAGGGAAGACGTATTTCCCCACCAGAACTATGGCATAGTAATAAATGTACACAAAGTTTCGAGTTCATCCTAATTTCACACCGTTAAAGTTTGACAACCAGTTTCCACATAATAAGAAAGTTCGAACCTCGTTTCCACACAGACCATGATTTGACGTGGTTTTATCGGTTTATTACATTAACCGATAGTAAACCAGTTATATTGGTACGCCTCGACCCAGAATAAGATCCGACTATGTATCGATTTATACCCGACCCGAAACACCTTTAAAACCCCCAAATCGAGTTGTTGTCTTTAGAACGCTAAAATCTTAAAAATTGAGAGAGAGATTTCGTTACAGACCCAAAAAGTATGAGTCATGAATCTGGAAATTCGAGTGGATTCTCCAGCGGTCGATCAAGAGGTCGTTTTGTTGGTGTTCCGAAGAGATGTTGGTGTGGAGAATTAGTTATCCCATTGATGTCGAATTCAAAGGCAAATCCTTATAGAAGATATTTTCGTTGTGCTTTTGCAGCAGAGAAAAGGGTTAGTTTGTTTATATAAATGTTAACCAATCTCTTACCTAGCTAAACCAAGACACCTACATGGAGGCCTACGTATGCTGTAGGGATTATACCCTTGCGTGGAGCAAAGTTCTGGTCTGCAGGACCAGAACCATCTATCAGAGAACCTAAGATCCCAGATCAACCAGGCCGTAAGAAGGTGACAAAAGCGGATAAAAAGAGGAAGAGAGGAGTCAATGAATCACCAAAAACTAACTAAACCAAAAACTACCCAATCTCTGATAGGTGTCTTGAACCAATTTTAAACCGACATTTGTTGATATTAGTTCGATTTATAAACATTAGGTGGAAACGAGGTTCGAACTTTCTTATTATGTGGAAACTGGTTGTCAAACTTTAACGGTGTGCAATTAGGACGACCTCGAAAATTTGTGTACATTTATTACTATGCCATAGTTCTGGTGGGGAAATACGTCGTCTTCCCAAGAAAATATGATAAAAATTCAAATATAATCTATAAGTAATATAAAATAAGACGTACAATTCTCGATAAAAAAAATTTCAATCAGAAACCTGCACAAAATTATTTAATTTTGTAAGCAATCGTACGATATCAAATATCCTAATAGATTTCTAAATTTTATTGAGACTAAAACTTTATTAAATTAACATACCGTTATCGAAATAGTCTAAAAACTGATTTGTAGTCACTACAACCCGTCTTTCGTATGTACTATTCTATATGTTAATAGGAAGAAACAAATGTAAGAATTTAATAATTCAAAATCTCTATCAAATAGAAATAGACTAAAATTGCGTACCGTTCACTATGAAATATTCTGAAAAACTTGTTTGTAAACAACAGTTGCTGTTTTTGTCTGCGGCTTCCCTTGTGTATCCGTTATTAGGATTTTTAATCCAGATCTCGACTTTACTCTCGAAAATGCAACGTATAACTGGTCATGAGAGAACACTGTTCTAGGTAGAAACAAACCAACATTTTGAAACGTTTGACCTTGACTTTTATTGATAGTCATCGCAAAAGCCAAACTTTGTGTCTTTGATGCATTCTGAAGGTAAACTTTGTGTTAGGTGGTGTGACGAACATTCTTGGGATCCACCAAATTGACTCTCCGGAAATATCATTGCCCATTATAACTCTACCTTGTATCACATGGGGCAATAACTGAGTAACAATCAGCCTAGTCCCATTGCACAAACCATCCGTAACATCCATGTTACGAAGACACATGATAGGAGCACCAACCTTGAGCTTTAAACAGTGTCCAGGCAGTCCAGCGACTTTAACACTATTCAAAAACTCTGCAGGATATACCACATTTTCTTCTATGTCAACATCAGATGAAATAATGTTGTTAGAGCTATGGTAAACCTTCTCTTCACCTAAAAGCATCATATCTAAACCATTTTCTTTACATGCATATAAATAGTTAGTATAACATAAGAGTTAATGATAAAAACTGTTACCTAACAACTGAGAAAGTATGTAATCATTTATTTTATCCACTTCATCATTTGTTAGAGTCAGAATGGCTCGATGTCTAAACAAATCCATCTACAAAATAAAAGAAAAAGTCAATATTCTATTATTTCAGCGTTAAATGTCAAGTATATATATATACTTTATAGACATTCACCGACCAAATATTTCACCAAAATTAACATGATTGAAACCAGTCAATTGGTAAGACATTTCTTCACAGTTTCGAACCCGAGTGGAATCTCCGAACAATATTTTGTAAGGATGCTTGGTATATCGAGAGCTTTCACACGATTGAGAAACTGAAAAATTGATGAATATCTTCGAGTCACCTTCTTCGACCTCCGATTCAAAGTTGTCAACTAATTTATTATTAACAGTTGCATGAATCGTAAAACCATGTGTCACATATAAGTAAAAAAGTTGAACCTTGGACCTTCCTTTGTTATCATTTACTAGGGAGTAACTTGCTGATCTCTCCTCTTCTCTTTTCCACATCAAAATCGTGTCTTCCACAATGGTATATAGAACAAACTGAACGAGTGTATGTATTATATAACTCCATACGCTAACAAAACCGATGTTCCATTAGCTATTAAAATCGTGTCCACAATGGTATAGAACAAACTGAACAAGTGTATGTAATATATAGCTACATAAGCTAACAAAACCGATGTGCAAATGAAATTATGATGTTTTATGTACAAGAATATGCCTTTAGTTGACATAGATAAATGCCTCACACTCGCTTGCAATAACTATGATTTAAATCTATATGCATAACATGTTCTCCCTCTGAATTGGTAGAAGACCGAGACGTTATTCATTGTGCACTATATTTGAATGTGTCAGAACATAAATATCTCCTTCTATAAATTCTGATATGTTCTATGCTTTGGTACTTTCATATTAAACAAGAGAGAATACAAAAATGGCAACAACCATTACATTTTCTCCTGCTCTGTTTTGGTTTTTCGTTTTCTTCTTCTCTTTCTTATCTCTCCAAACCATCTCCCAGCCTGATCGAGCCCATCACATGCGTACCGTCTGCAACAACGAATCTAGCCATTTCACTGAATACAGCTCTTTCTATTTAAACCGTCGTTCGACCCTCGCGTCTCTCCAAACCAGGTCTTCCGTCCGACCGCCAATCTATCTCAGCGTCACCAAGGGTACTGGCCCCGACACAGTCTTTGCCATGTACCTCTGCAGAGGAGACATCACCAAAACAACCTGCTCAATCTGTGTCCGTACTGCAACTTCAGAAATCAAGGAGAGCTGCACTTATCAAAAAGAAGGTTTCATATTCTATGAAGAGTGTATGGTCCGTTACTCGGATACTTCCTTCTCGGGACTCCTAGAAGGACCTAAGTTTAACGTCATACTACACTCTCCCAAGAATTTTTCTAGTACGATCAGGTTCGGACAAACACTTTCTAGAAAGATGGACGAATTTATTACAAGAACAGTGTCGACGACATCGTGGCCGAAACCATATTTCGTACAGGATAAAGAACGCTTGACTGAATCGGGTAGCTCGTATACATTAGACACAGTGGTGCAGTGTCGTCCTGACCTTGATCCAAGCAACTGCGACGCCTGCTAGAGATTCGCGGTTCAACGTGTCTTGGAATGTTGCAGCCAGTCTCTTTCGCTTCATATCTTCCGTCCTGAATGTCTCGTCAAGTACCATGCAACCGACTTCACAGTGAACGCCCACAGTCTTGGTGTTATGAGAGGTTAGCATACTATATTTCATCCCTATTTGAAAACTATTGTTTTAAGATTTGCACGCATATTGATAAAGCTAAACACATATTATTTTATATTTTAAGTTTTATTTGCTTCCAGTAAAATTATATCATTCATATGTTTTAGATTTTAATTATGCTTTAGTATTAAAATCAAAGTGCATTACTTAAAATCCAATACACTAATTTGTTAAATACAAAAAAAATCTAACACATCATTTTTTAATTAACGAAGGAGTAGTATATATCATCTTACAAACTTTATCGTATTTAGAAAACAGATAGTTAGAATTAAATATCATTTACAAAATTTTGGTATCTAGAGAATCAGAAACAAACTCGATCCGAATTGAAATATTTCGGGTATCCCAAATATATGCAAATCAGATTAATATAATATATTAGCTACTTTTAGAGTTAAGAGTCAGAAATATCCAAAATTTATATGATATTTGAGTTTTTCAAAATATATAAATATAGTCAAACGTAAATACCTAAAATAGATAAAAAAAAATACTCAAAATAGAGAAAATGACTAGAATAGCACTAAAAAAAGTTTTTTGTCACAAATATAGCACTTAAAAATAAAAATCACCAAAATAGCACTTAATGTTTTATCAAAAGAGATAAATATACACTTATATCCCAATGATAAATTAATTTAGACATTAGGGTTTAGAGTTAAGGGGTGGGATTTATGGTTTAGGGTTTAGGGTTTAGAGTTTAGGGTTTAGAATTTAGGTTTTAGGGTTTAAATTTGGAGAGTAGGATTTTGGGAATAAGATTTTAATTTTTGAAAAATAAAAGAATTTTAAAAATTTCAAAAAATAAAATGCTATTTTGGTCATTTTAGTTTTTGATCGCTATTTTTGTGACACAAACTTAGAAATGTGCTATTTTGGAGATTTGCCCTACAAAATACTTAAAATATCTATTAATTCTCCATCCAAATATTTAAGCTATATAAAATTTTATGTTAAATTTAGATCTTTTAGCATACATTACTCAAATTTATATCTTATATATTATTATTTTTTAGATTTTTAAAAATTTAAAGTAAAATGAATTTTAAAATAATTTAAACGGATTATTCGAACTCGAGTCAAACCCGCAAAGATCCAAACTGAATCTGAACCAAAATATATAAATACCTGAATGGGAGGGAAATTTTTAACCCAAAAAAACTCAAAACTCGAATAGGTACCCAAATGCCCACACCTAGTTTGGGCATTCATTTCTTCGGACCGGATTCACATTGGTTCATTTTGGATCTTAAATATTTGGACCAACTAGGTATTGTGAAATTTTGGGTTCAGTTCAGTTCATTTTGGGTCTGGGGTGGTGTGAATCTATAATTAAAACTAGAGTTTGACCCGCGCATCCGCGCGAGTATTGATTTTTACGTTTTTATAAATTGATATTCGTTTTTTATGATTAGTATTATATATTTTAGATATGTAGCCGATAACTAATTGCATACAAAAGAACTGGACTGAATCAGGTAATAAGATTATTTTTATCACAAATATCTGAACTCATTTCAGATATATTGGTTATTTAGATATTGTTATGTTCATATACTATAGAATCAAAATCATTCAGACTCGGGGGACCCATTTCAAACCTTACACATACATTTATAATATCCAAGCATGTCTAATTTCAAAACCCAAAAAGTTGATCTCAAAAGAAACAACTTGTATCTGAATGAATACACGAATGTCCATATCTAATTGATTCGGTAAATAAATTTTTTAAAAATATTTCTTTATGTTTAGCTAAATTAAATGAAATAGAAAGAATTTTTTATTTATTAAAATAGTTATATGGAATGAAACATGAAGGGACAATAAATGTAAGAAATATTAATTATTTTAATTTAAATTATTATTTTGTTTACATAAACTATCCTTTGAATTATGTGTTTGGCTACATAATTTTCACTAATTGGAACCAAGCTTTTTAAAACCGGACCAATTCGTTGGTTGGACCAGGTTTGACCATGAACCGATTACGTAACCAGGTTGAATCTAACAACTGGTTCGACCATGAACCGGTCAAGTAATCGGATATATTTATCTCAACTATATTGGATTTAATAAACACTATTAAGACTATCAAAATTCTATAAACCAACCATATGAACAAAAAAAGTATCAATTTGATTATTTATCATATTTACTAACTTTACTTTTAATTTCTATATCTAAAATATATTAAACCAGATTATTGAACCAAGATTATCCGATCGAACCATATTGAACAGTGACCCAAAATTCTAGCTCTGCTTCCGTTCCGGTTTTAAAAACACTAATTAGAAATAAGATAAAAGAAATTTTTAGTAAAATAGATTAAAACAAACTCTTAACCGTACGCAAAGTTCTGTTATTTTACATTTTTATTTTAAAAATTTGTACAAACTTAATATTGATTAACTAATAAATAAAAATCTGCAATACTACTTTAATGGTATATAATTAATGATTTGATGTATTGTTAAAGGTAAATATAATTAATGATGTGAAATATAATTAATGATGTGATGTATTGTTAAGGTAATATAATTAATGAAATAAATAAAAGAATATTATATTTGTTTATACTGTTATCTATGTTTCCAAACAATTCTCGTTTAAACTATTATCCATGTTTCCAAACAACTCTCAAATGTACCTCAACTTTAATAATATAGATACCTATTAAGATATTTATAATTTTTGGGGTCCGTAACTGTTCCAGTGAGATTTGGGTATTTAAGACGAAAGAGTAAGCATTCGTATTTCATCAAAACATAGTCAAAATTTATCATATTTATCTAATTTTTTACAAAATAACTAAAAATAAGCTATTAATAATTGAAATTAAAAAATTTAAACACAATATTTGACATTTAAAATTTTATATTACTTGAAATCTTACAAAAATATAATAAATATTACAAACTAAAAGACTTTAGAACTAAATCAAAATTAAAATATAAAAATAGAATACACAAAGTAATAGTCTTGGATTCATGTGTTTATCTCGGGTAAAAAAATCTGGTATATTCAGATCGGTTCTTTTTGGATTCAGATTTATTTGGATTGGTTTTTTCAGTTTTATTTGAATTTCAATTATTCAGTTTCACTAATAAGATGTATGAATAAGTTCGTGAATAACAAGCCGAAAGGGATGGGAAAAAATAGGTCCAACTAGGTATTTGTAAATTATCAGTACGATTTCGCATCAAATATTTTGGGTCAGTTCCAGTTTAGATTTTTGGATCTAGGTAAAATGACGAGGCCTAGCTAGGGATTTCGTGATTGACTATCCGGGCCTTGGGTTCTATGATTTGGTCTTCTCCTTTTCTTTAGAGCGCTTGCACGATCATCCATAAGCACTTGATAAAATACATATGCAGTGAAACTTCTATAAATTAATAATGTTGGGATTACACCAAAACTATATTTTTTATTAATGTATAGAAATTATTAATTTATTAATATACTAATTAAATCAAAAACTCAATTTAGAACTATAAAATTATATTGTTTTATAGAGATTTTAGTGTATATTAATTTATAAAATATTAATTTAAAGAGGTTATATTGTAATGTGAACTAGACCGATTCGGACATCGCCATGTCTTAGAGCATTTGAGTTCTGAACTTGTATACATATGTAAACATATAAAATATTAGTATTAATTATAGATATCTCAATATTATAGAAATACACTAAAGTATATCTTTTGCATGTGATGTAAATTTATATTCATTTTTACAGGTAGTATGGCAAAATAACATTAAAATATTTTGAATGTTTAAAATCAATGATAAACTTCATTTTGAAAAAAAAGAACCAATGTAATATTTGTTCATATTTATATAAATTTTAAATGTATTAAATAATAATTGATGTTTATATTAAGATTATATATATTTACATAAGAAATTCAAAAAACATTATTTTATCTTCTTATCAAATTGTGTCATAGTTAATATGTCAAATGTTTTCCGGTATATTAAATTCTTATAGGGTAAATTTCATTTTTTAATACAAATTTTCAAATTTTACACGGTAATGACAAAGAATGGCCATATTAATATTTTTAACTCTTTTATGTTTTCTTACAGGAAACAAAATATTTGACAGAGTTTTTATTGCAGTCACAACAGTTTTGGCATTAGCACTTGTAGGTCTATGAACCTATTTTTTCTTCGACTTTGTAGGTCTATAATCAGTTATATTGATTTAAGGATTGTATATACTGATTAGTGTTGTTATCCTATGACACGACTTACGTGATTGTTGTTTATTTTTATTTTATGAAACTACTGTTGTGTTTAAATTTTTTTTTTTTTTTTGAAACTACCGTTGTGTTCTTCAGTTTTTGTCCATTTAATGCAAACTTGGGGTTGATCAGAGTTTTTCGGGTAATTATGTTAAGACTATACATTTCCTGGGACTTAGTACAAAGTTTCTTGAGAGCTCAACTTATTACAAAAATAAATAAATTAACAGGGGGATAACAGATAGAAAAAAATTAAAAGAAAAGACTGATGAGTTAATGCCAATGAAGAGAAGTGAGAGAATGAAATATATCGCTCCGCGAAGCTCACCCACTGAAGATGAACAGTCTGAAAAATCTTATTATTGTGCTCTTTCCAAAGTGTGTAGATGACTACCTAGAAGAGAAGCTTACAAACTGCACCCCAATTTAAAGAACTCACATTCTGATGATGCTGATTAGCAAGACACGTAAGAAGTTCACAAAAAAATAGCAAGACACGTAAGATATAAATTGGTGCTGCGTGTTATGGCAAACGTGAGACCTGCGGAGAAATGGTTCCAAACTGCCAAAGCAAAACAACGC